ATGCCGGGTTACGGAGGCGGCCGAGGGCCGCTCGCCACCAGTCAGTGGAGGCCAGGGGTTGCCGTGGCCGGAGCCCCCACCATGAGTTTGCCTGGACCGAGGCTCGGCAGCCTCCCCCTCTCCCCCTTCTTGGTCTGGCACCGAGAGAAGGGCCTGGAGGGGCTGGCACCTGTCCGGCGCCCACTGCGTGGCAGCCACTGTGCCAGGAACTGTCCCGAGAAACTGCTAAGATGGACCTGGGCTCGCCTCGTTTTCCAAGAGCGGACCTGGAGCATTGAGGGCCTACGGAACTTTCCAGAAGCTGCCCTGGGATTAGAGCCCAGCCTGTCCTGACTGCAGCTCCTCTCGCAGACGAGGGTGCGGATGAGCCCAGAGGAGGCCTGGGCTGCAGGGAGGCCTCTGCTCACCGTCAGGCCGAGCCGGCTTTTGTTCCCTTTTATCTTTCATCTGATTAGAGAATTGAAACGTCCCCCCAAATCAGAGGCTATTCATGCTGCCGGCAGAAGCTGACGCACCCACATCTGTCCTCAACCTTAAGGACGGCCTCAGAAAGGCTGTCTTTGTCAGGTACCTAAGCGTGAGCAGTTACGCTCAGTTTTGGGCAAATAGATCTAAGTAGTGTCTGGCCCAGCACAAACGTGTGTGTTTTCTGTGCCAAGTCGATGGGATGCATGTTTTTTTTTTTTTCTTTTTTAGCATAGATTCTTGGATACAATGTGTTCGCATAATTTATTTTTATTTTTAATCAAGAAGACAAGATGTTTCGGCAGAATTTTCAGCCTGCAGATCTGCTGTTTAAAGAGCTGCGAAAAGTGTCCAGCAAATATTGTGGTGGCTTCTCCCACATGCCAACGCGACAGGCTCCTTCCTGGTGACTTCACAATAATACTGCCCGGGCCTGCCACAGAGGGTTTGATGAAAAAACGCTTTTCAGCCTGAAAGGTGACAATAATTACATCTGCCTGCTCATTCATTATGTGTCCGCTCTTATTTCCAGTGAA